GAGCTTCATGGAATGGGTTTCCATGGCTGAGCAGCTGCATGCAAGCCTTACATCATTAAGTGTAATCCAAAGCGTCAAATGCAGTGGTGTAAAGCACGCCACCATTAGACTCTAGAGCAGTGGAGACGTGTTCTCTGGAGTGACCAATCATGCTTCTCTAGCAATCCAATGGACGTGTCTGGGCTTGGCGGTTGCCAGGAGAATGGTACTTGCCTGACTGTGTTATGCCAAGTTCCAGTGAAGGGAACTCTAAGGTTACTTTCACACTGAAGAGTTTTTGAAGCATTTTTGTATGAATAAGAGCACCTTAAAAGCTCAAGAAAAATGCTTCCCCTATGTATGTAAAAGTATATCTCTGAATTTTTTCACACTAAGGCGTTGCACTTGCGATGTGGTGTAAAAACTCCCGCTTGCAGCATCTTTGGGGTATGTTTGGTGAGTTAAAAAAAAGCCCCAAAAACTTCTCTTCCCATTGAAATCAATGGAAAAACGCCTGAAAAGCGCCTCTGAGAAGCGGTTTTGGTACAGTTTTTAAGTCACGTGTCTTTTAAAAATGCTCAAAAAGCACAGTAAAAACGCCTATGTGTTTTTGCGGCGGATCAGTGGGAAAGTAGCATTAAGTTGTCAGCATACCAAGATATTTTGAACAATTTCATGCCCCCAACTTTGTGGAAACAGTTTGGGGATGGGCCCCTTCCTGTTCCAACATGACTGCGTACCAGTGCACAAAGCAAGGTCCATAAAGACATGGATGAGCACGTTTGGGGTGGAGGAACTTGACTGACCTGTGCAGAGTCCTGACCTCAACCTGACAGAACACCTTTGGGATGAATTAGAGCACAGACTGCGAGCCAGGCTCTGTCGTCTAACATCAGTACCTGACCTCATAAATGTGCTTCTGGAAGAATGGTCAAACATTCCAATAGACACACTCCTAAACCTTGTGGACAGCCTTCCCAGAAGAGTTGCTGTTATAGCTGCAAAGGATAGGCCAACTTAATTTTGAACCCTATGGATTAAGTCTGAGATGCCATGGAAGTTCATGTGCTTGTAAAAGGCAGCCTTCCCAATACTTTTGGCAATATAGTGTATTAGTGGTGCACCGAAATTAAAATTTCTACCGACATTTGCACTTGGCCAAAAACCGAAATGGACAGTTTTTAAAAATGTATATAATTTTTATGTAACATTTTATTATATTTGACTTTTTATTTAGTATCATGAATTTAAATGAATATGAATTTAAAAAATACAAATAAAAGAAAATATTTTTTTTGTGGTCTCTTACATAGCACAAAAATTTTTAAAAAAAACTTGGCTGTGATCACATACCACCAAAGAAAGCTCTATTTGTGACAAAAAAAAAATTACATACATTTTATTTGTGTACAGTGTTGCATGACTGCGCAATTGTCAGTTATAGTAATGCAGCACCATTTAGCCTGGTCATGAAGGGGGTAAATCTTCCCGAGGTCAAGTGGCCAAATTAGAAGAAAAAAATGCAGTACGCTATGTTTCGCCAAGTAAATAGATACCCAACATGTCATGCTTTAAAATTCCACATGCTGGTGAAATGGCGCCAAACTATGGTACTTAAAAATCTCTACGGGTGACACTGTCTACAGATTACCAGTTTACAGTTGCAGAGGAAGTGTAGTTCTAGAATTATTGCTCTCACTCGTTATGTTACTTCACAAGTGTGGTTTGAACACTGTCTACATATGTGGGTGTGGCCTACGTATGCATTCACCAATGTGCGGGGGGGGACGGGGGCACTTTAAAAAAAAAAAAATGTATTACTTTTTTTTTTTTACACTCCATTTCAAAAAAGATTTCTTGATCACCTTTATTCCTATCACAAGTAATGTAAACATCCCTTGTGATAGAAGTAAGCAGTGACTGGGCCTCTTTATGGAGAGATGTAAGGTCAATAAGACCCCACATCTCTTCTCTACAGTGCAAAGCACTAGATTAAAAAAAAGCATTGATCTAGTGCTTTAAAATAAAAAATGGCCCTGGAACCGGAAGTCACATAATGAAATCGCCCCGGCCCTCCAAGGGTATAGAGATGAGTGGAGGCTATCTTTCCCAAACCCAAAAAAGCCTATGAAAAGCCAATGAAAGGTACCAGGGGCATCTCATGGGGCCCCCACACTGAGCTCGGGCAGTGCCCGAGAGCTCAAATGGTCAGTCTGCCCCTGATCTCTATGCACAGCCGAGGGGATCCTTGGATGGGTTCCCGGGCTTACGGATCGCCCAGGTAAGCGAGAACCACCGAAAGGCAGCCGGGGGGGGGGGGGTTTGCGCTTATCGCTGCTTCTAAAAGTGATCTTTTAGGTGAATCTGCTGCTCAGACCACTTTTATCATAAAGGAAATCGCCGCCTGAAAAAATAATACTGTGGCTATTTCCAGCGCCTGTATCAGCTCCTATTCTTATATCGACCAAAAGCTGATAGGGGTAATTTTGCTTGAAACATTTCAGTTGCTGATATACACTACAGGAATGCACCGACATATTTAAGTGTGAAACTGTTAAAGAAATGTGGGAAGGATTACAAAGGTGCATGAAAGAGCTAATCTCAGCAATAAAGTTTATTTGATTAGAAAGCTATACCAAACCAAGCCAATGAAAGGCCAAGATATACAGTATTACGTAAGGAACACCTTGGAAATGCTTGAACACCTAAGAGGTATATGAGAAGAAATAAAAGATATTCAAGTCGTAGAACTCTTACTTCGTGGTTTAGCAGAAAGTTATGAAACACTTGTCACAGCACTTGATGCATGTCCAGATGATGAACTGACACTGAAATATGTTAAGGGCAAGTTTATGGATGAATATACGGGCAAAAAAGAAAGCATTAATAGTGATGGTGCTTCTTTACAGACTGCTTTAAAGATGAAAAATAGGAATAAAAACAGACACATGCAACACGTAAATGCTTTGTTATCAAGAAATAAGGGCATTTTAAAGCAGACTGCAAAATCTGGAAAGCTAGAATGCAAAAACAAACTAAACTACAAAAGTGTGAAGGAAGAAACTGATTTTTCTTCAGATAATGAATATGTTTTTCAATCCAAAAGTTGCACCTCCATGCTATCGCCTAAAATCGACTACCAGGAAAATCAACAGAGAAAATCCCATATAAATTGTGGAATGGAGAAGTCTCGAATTTAAACCATCTAAAATTTTATGGAAGCAAAGCCTATGTGCACATCCCAAAAGAAAAATTTTAAAAATGGGATGCTTGTGCAAACAAGGTAGCCATCGGTAGTGGTGTAATTGTCGATGAAACTTCAGTGTGTTCAACATTTTTATGAAATAAGACAAACTCTTCAAACTGAAGGAAATTCTACATCAATGTCACATAAAGATAAGCAACAAGGTGACAGAAATAGAAATTAACACAGGTAATCCAAAAACTGTAAAAAAAGAAACCAGGCCATAATACACTTCAATCAGGAAATCCACCGGAAGCAACAAAGGCAATCCAGTCAAATGTTTGTATTATGTTACTCACATAGCATTAAAATCAGAGCCAGATTCATGAGATGAGATGCAAAGACAGTGGTAGCAGGAAAGAAAATTGAATCATCTATGGCTTGCCTTACAGAGCTTAGAACTCTTTGAAATGTGATGGGTTTTGGGTTACAGAGCTTCTGCTGTTACCTGCTAAATGATCTGATAATTGTCCAAAGCACATAGTTTTTGCCCACGTTTTTTCAGAAGCAAAAGGAAGGCCGTATCTGGAATGCAAAGATCCTGATGTGTCTGGGGCTCAGGGTAGTTTTTTTTATTGGCACTGAAAAAATAAAAAAACACAAAGGAGGAGGAGAAGATAAGAAAGCATAAAGAATAAAAATAAATCTAGTTTATGCAAAAATCGATTAGGACAATGTACAGTAGTATGTTATCTTAATAGACATTTGTATTGGCTAATTTCTTTTTCCTTTATGCTTTCTTATCCTCCCCTCCTTTTTCGTGTTTGTTTTCTTGAGTGCCAATAAAAACTGCCCTACAGTGTTGTAAATGCTTGTATAAAGGGAATTCTTAACAGTCCTCTTTCGATCTCCTTGAGGTGCGGTAAAATTAGAATAATCCCATGATATCTGAATTGCTTCCTTAGAGAGAGCCTTTAATTACACACAGTAAGCTGTATGTCCCCTCAGGTGCAACAAACCGAACATCATGTTGCTTATGATACAAGTAGATTTTATCTAACACGATTTGCTTGTTGATCTACAGTATCTCTGCATTATGTACACTGAAAAAAAATATTTATTTGGCGGTAAAGTAAAGTTTTGTAGCACAGAAGTGCAAAGCTGGTAAATCTGGATCCTAGCGAAATCAAAAATCTCTCTTTAGGACATGTAAATGCAGATGGCTCAATAAAACAAAGTAACTGCCCTAAACATTTCATATACAGGCATACCTCGGTTTACGAATTTAATCCGCTCTGCTGGGCTCTTCGTATTGCGAAAAAGTTTGTAATCCGAAACGCGGTTGCCCATAGGAATTGAAAACCAATTAATCTGTTCCAAAGGTCAGAAAAAAGTACAAAAAAAGGATTTTATGTTCAAAACTCTTTATAAAGTACACTTTAAAGGAAAACAGGGACATGATTAAAAATTCATAAATGTTCCATTCCAAGGTCAGAAAAAAGTAAAAAAAAGTTTTATTTGTTCAAAACTTTATAAAGTGCACTTTAACCACTACCCTACAGGGCACTTATACCCCCTTCCTGCTCAGGCCAATTTCCAGCTTTCAGCGCTGTCGCACTTTGAATGACAATTGCGCTATTATGCAACACTACCCATATGAAATTTTTATCATTTTTTTGTGACAGCTTTCTTTCGGTGGTATTTAATCACGTCTGGGTTTTTTATTTTTTTTAAACAAACCAAAAACCACTGAAAATTTTGGGAAAAAAAACATTTTTTCTTAGTTTTTGTTATAAAATTTTGTAAATAAGTGATTTTTCTCCTTCACTGATATGCACTAATGAGTCTGCAGTGGTGGGCACTGATAGGCTGCACTGATGGACATTGATAGGTGGCACTGATGAGGAGGCACTGGTAGGTGGCACTGATGGGCATTGACAGGCATCATTGATGGGCACTGAAAGGCAGCACTGATACATGGCACTGATAGGCGGCACTGACTGGCACTGATGGGCGGCACTGTAAGGGCTCGTTCACACTTGGCTGTTTTACCAACGCTTGCCAAACGCCCCTATAGCGTTTGGCAAGCGTTGGTCCGGCGTTTGCGGAGCGTTTTTTTTAACGCTCCGCAAACGCGGTTTAGTGGCAGTTGCTAGGCGTTTGCCGAGCGTTAATAACGCCCCACAAATGCCTATAATACAGTTTGAGTGGTGTTACCGCTCCGCAAACGCCCCGCAACCGCACCGCAAACGCCGGCCGGGCGTTTGCGGAGCGGCACCATAGACGAGAATAGGAGGCTTCAAAGCCTCCTGACTCGACCAGAGGCGTCCGTTTTGCCGCGACGCGACGCAAACGCTCCCGTTAGAACAGCACCATGTGCTGTAATGTGCAGAATTGGCAGAGGCGTTTGGGAAGCGGTAAAAACGCTTCCCAAATGCCTCTCTCTGCCGCCTGCACACAAGGCTAGTGTGAACGTAGCGTTAGGTGGCGACTGATGCGCGCTGATAGGCGGCACTGATTGGCAACACTGGTAGGTGGCACTGATTGGCATTGATAGGTGGCACTGAAAGGCAGCTGGGCACTGATATGTGGCATTGATGTGCACTGGTAGGCACTGATATGTGGCATTGATGTGGCACTGATGAGGCATGTACATGTCCCCTCCGCACTGAAAGCCGCATTACTGGCTCTCCTGATCATCCCGAGCTGTCAGAGTGACAGCTAGAGAGGAGAGAAATGCCGATAACTGGCATCTGCTCTCCCGAGTTTACATGGTGACAGCGAGATTGAGACAAGCGATCACATGACCATTTCCCGACACATGTGATCAGCCGTGATGGACACAGCTGATCACATGACCTGCCGACATCTTGCTCTTTCCGTAATCCGGTAATCGGTGATCCGCTGTGTCCGAGGGACACAGCGCACCGCCGATCGCCGCACTACGCGCTCCCTGAGCCACGCATGTGTGGTGAGAATGTGAGGACATCATATGACGTCAGAATAAGAGAACCACCTTGTGCCCGTCATTGGACTATATGGTGGGGCGGGAGGTGGTTAAAGGCATAAAGGGACATGATTAAAAAAAAATTCATAAATGCATTGAAAACCAATTAATCTGTTCCGGAGGTCAGAAAACAGTAAAGAAAAAGTTTTATCTGTTCAAAACTCTTTATAAAGTGCACTTTACTGTACAGGGACATGATTAATAAAAAAATCGTAAATGCATTGAAAACCAATTAATCCATTTGTATTGCAAAAAAAATGTGTAAACCGAGGCATTATTTTTAATAGATTTTCATTTGTAAACCGAAAATTACATTAATCGAGGCGTTCGTAAACCGAGGTATGCCTGTGTGTTTGTGTGTGTATATATATATATATATATATATATATATATATATACAGTCAGGTCCATAAATATTGGGACATTGACACAATTCTAACATTTTTGGCTCTATACACCACCACAATGGATTTGAAATGAAACGAACAAGATGTGCTTTAACTGCAGACTGTCAGCTTTAATTTGAGGGTATTTTACATCCAAATCAGGTGAACGGTGTAGGAATTACAACAGTTTGCATATGTGCCTCCCACTTGTTAAGGGACCGAAAGTAATGGGACAGAATAATAATCATAAATCAAACTTTCACTTTTTAATACTTCGTTGCAAATCCTTTGCAGTCAATTACAGCCTGAAGTCTGGAACGCATAGACATCACCAGATGCTGGGTTTCATCCCTGCTGATGCTCTGCCAGGCCTCTACTGCAACTGTCTTCAGTTCCTGATTGTTCTTGGGGCATTTTCCCTTCAGTTTTGTCTTCAGCAAGTGAAATGCATGCTCAATCAGATTCAGGTCAGGTGATTGACTTGGCCATTGCATAACATTACACTTCTTTCCCTTAAAAAACTCTTTGGTTGCTTTTGCAGTATGCTTTGGGTCATTGTCCATCTGCACTGTGAAGCTGCGTCCAATGAGTTGTGAAGCATTTGGCTGAATATGAGCAGATAATAATGCCCAAAACACTTCAGAATTCATCCTGCTGCTTTTGTCAGCAGTCACATCATCAATAAATACAAGAGAACCAGTTCCATTGGCAGCCATACATGCCCACGCCATGACACTACCACCACCATGCTTCACTGATGAGGTGGTATGCTTAGGATCATGAGCAGTTCCTTTCCTTCTCCATACTCTTCTCTTCCCATCACTCTGGTACAAGTTGATCTTGGTCTCATCTGTCCATAGGATGTTGTTCCAGAACTGTGAAGGCTTTTTTAGATGTCGTTTTGGCAAACTCTAATCTGGCCTTCCTGTTTTTGAGGCTCACCAACAGTTTACATCTTGTGGTGAACCCTCTATATTCACTCTGGTGAAGTCTTCTCTTGATTGTTGACTTTGACACACATACACCTACCTCCTGGAGAGTGTTCTTGATCTGGCCAACTGTTGTGAAGGGTGTTTTCTTCACCAGGGAAAGAATTCTTCGGTTATCCACCACAGTTGTTTTCCATGGTCTTCCGGGTCTTTTGATGTTGCTGAGCTCACCAGTGCGTTCCTTCTTTTTAAGAATGTTCCAAACAGTTTTTTTTTGGCCACGCCTAATGTTTTTTGCTATCTCTCTGCTGGGTTTGTTTTGTTTTTTCAGCCTAATGATGGCTTGCTTCACTGATAGTGACAGCTCTTTGGATCTCATCTTGAGAGTTGACAGCAACAGATTCCAAATGCAAATAGCACACTTGAAATGAACTCTGGACCTTTTATCTGCTCATTGTAATTGGGATAATGAGGGAATAACACACACCTGGCCATGGAACAGCTGAGAAGCCAATTGTCCCATAACTTTTGGTCCTTTAACAAGTGGGAGGCACATATGCAAACTGTTGTAATTCCTACACCGTTCACCTGATTTGATTGTAAATACCCTCAAATTAAAGCTGACAGTCTGCAGTTAAAGCACATCTTGTTCCTTTCATTTCAAATCCATTGTGGTGGTGTATAGAGCCAAAAATGTTAGAATTGTGTCGATGTCCCAATATTTATGGACCTGACTGTATATGCTTCTACACCTGATCACAAAGAGGGTGTTTGAAAGGTGCTTAATACCCATTGATCAATTGAACTTTACCTTCTTGAGGGCATAATCTTGCTGAAGGGTCTTCAACATCTGGCACACTTCCTGGTGTTAGACGATCTATGTGTGTATCACTGCTCCAAAGCACCCCATACATATTCCTTAACCCTACAGTACAGCCAGGTCCCAAAGCACAGGAGAAACCAAAGCAGAGACGCAGGTATCTGATGGAAGTGGGGAAGATTTTTCAGTAAGATTATCTTACCAACACTGTAAGTTTATATAGTGGGATCGGTAAGTGTTCATTCTCTTTGCTGGGTGTACTTATTTACATTTTTTTTTAATAGTTACATTTGCTTTAAAATGAACACGTCACATGCACTTCAAAGAGCAATAGGAACCTTTCTTGTCTCAAATATACAGTATTACACTCCTTCTAAGAGCCCCTTACTTTGCTTGTACATAAATCCATAGGTATGAGAGGGGATCGAGGAGGAATACGAGGAGCATTCAAGTCAAACTGGGACTTTTAGTATTACAGGTATAAAAAGGGATGCTAGCGTGGCGATACTACATGCAGTAGTAAGTGGCAAGTTTGTGCTATTACTGATAGGCGGTGCGAATGTCACGGGCCAGTCCAGGGACCTTTAAGCAAGATGGCAGACAACAGTGTTAGTGTGTGCATGGAACAGTGTGTGGTGATGAAGTTTCTTGTGAACGAAGGCGTAAAACCTGCGGATACCTACAGAAGACTTCAAGCACAGTACAATGAGGAGACGCTTAGCTGCAGTAAGTTATTTAAACGTAAACGTTTCAAAGATAACCGTACGTCCGTCAGTGCCGATTCTGGCCATGGTAGTACCCAGCCTACAGCAGTCATTCCTGTGAACATTCAGCACATGGAACACCTGATTCTGGATAATCGACGCATAACCTGTCATAAAATTGCACAAGTGACTAATCTTTCTGTGGGAGTGGTGAACACAATCATTCATGAACCTTTGCATTTTTGAAAAGTTAGCACATGCTGGTGCCACTATCAACTGTGACTATTTCTGTCGTGTTCTGAGTGATGTGCATACGTGTCTGTGGAAAAAATCTCTACTTGATCCCTAAGGGCATCCTGTTTCTCCAGGACAACGCACGAGCTCGTATTGCTCACCGCACTACTTGCACATTAAAGCAGCTCGGCTGGGAGGTATTGCCCCAAACAGCCTGGACCTCGCGCCGAGTGATTTCCACCTGTTTGGACCCCCTAAAAGAGGTCAGCATTTCAGCACTGATGATGAAGTGAAGCAGGCTGTCTTGGATGGTTCAGGCGCACTGACATATCTTTCTATGCCGAAGCTTTCCAAGCATTGGTTAAATGGGATAAGTGTATAAATGTAGCAGAGGAGTATGTAGAAAAATAAATGCAGTTTCCACTCTTGAAATTTGTTCTTTTATAATATAAACTTAAAAGTTCCGGTTTCACTTGAACTCCCCTCGTAACTGTCAGATTTACTGTATAAAATTTGTATTGTGGGAACACATCGGCATGTCCTAACTTGACAGGTGTGAAGGCATGGGTGATCAACCGCAAATGCACACTGTCTGGGTTCAGAGGCATGCATCCGCACGCCTGTTAAATTAGGACTTATGGCTGTGTCTGTGCAGCCGCTGTATCTCCATAGAGTAACAGGCCAGGAGGCTCCAGCCACAAAAACAAACCACTCATCATACTGACAGGCCACAGCACCTGTGTGAATGAGCCTCAAGGTAGTAAAGCAAAAATCAGAATGTTTGGCAGTTCACACATTTCTGCAATCACTGGTGTATTCTAAAGTAGATGTAAACCTTTCAGCAGAGCTCCAGTCAAAAACAAAAATCAGCAGCTACAAAAACTGTAGCTGCTGACCTTTAGGAAACAGCCACTCAACTGTCCTACGATCCAGCGGTGTGTTCACACCAGCCAGGTTCACTGGCCGTCCCTCTCTCCCTGGTGCTGGGATCTTAAGTGTGGGTACCTGGCTGTGACAGCTTGTCACGATTCACCCTGCACTCCACGCCCACAGCAACTAGCTAACCGAGGCAGGCACATGCGGCTGTGACTTGGGGTAAAAGGGAATAAGGGGGACTTAATCTGAATATATACGTATATAAGACCGGCCATGATATACTTTCACAGCCTGCACTACCTCTTGGCCACCACCAGAGGGAGACTCCAATCCAGCTGTCGACCACACACTGCCAGATACAAATCTTATATACAATCTGGTGCACTAATTAGAGTTGAGGAGCAGCTTAGCAATCTCACACCCTTCTAGGGTTCCTCCAGCTATCCTACAAGCCAGGACCCCAGAGTTAATCACTCTTCCACTGTCCATACCCCCCCACACCAGACACACCACAAATGGTAGCTTGCCACCACCCAACAGTTTATCCACAGAATGATCTGTTGGGACACCACACACACACAGATCTCCGTCAGGCAGATCTGTTACCTTTACAATCTGCACGTAATCTGCCAACACGCAGTGCAATTGCATACAGATTGGCAATGAGCTTGACCGAGCATATAAAGACACT